TCCCCTGGAGGAGGAAATGGCAACCCACTCCAGTATTCTTGCCTGGGAAATCCCTTGGACAGAGGAGCCTGGTGGGCTACAGTCCATGAGGTTGCAAAGAGTCAGATATGACTGTCTGAGCACACATCATGGGCCAACTAGCATACACGACACTTACACTGAGCACCTAAAACGACCCCTCAGATGGCTGAGCCATCATTTTTTTTTTTCCCCAAAATTGCTGAAGCAGTGGGAGGAAGTGAGGTCACATGACTGTTGGTCATGCAATTGAAATCACCTGGACAGAGGTTGTCAACTAAGCTGTGGACCTAGTCATCCTGAGGGCAGACACGGAAAGGCAGTGTTGTCTAGAATCAGGTTACTTGTCACAGCAGAACCTCTATGGATCTTGATTAAGAATCCCTGCAGCCGTTAGAACTTAGATTAGTAATTCTCAATGATCAGGGTGGGTCTCTATACATTTAATAGAAATCTATGTGGACTATTTTCCATAGCCCTTGACACATAAGCAAGTCCCTGGGGAATATTCTCAGTTCCACCCCTTCCCCATCCTGCTAACCCATCTCCCACAAAAAGCATGGAGGGACGTTATTACTGCGTCCATCTAGTATGAATCATTCTGATTCACAATAACTCAGTCATTTCAACATCGACAACCCAGTCCAACAGCAATGGTAATCTAATATTTCCAAGACTCTATTTGGGTGGGGGTGGGGTGGGGAGCGGAGAACTCATTCTTTATGCCAGAATTTCCTTCTCACGGATTTCAGAATGTTGAACTATATCTTGGTTTGCCTGACTGCCCCCAAAAGCTTTAAAGTGTTGCAAAAGATCTGTGACTAATAATAAACAGAATATATTTGTGAGTGTGAAAGTTTAGTTGGGTTAATTTGGCTGCCCCAAATTAAGATACCTTCCAGATAATTATAAAATTAGTTTATATTTTAACATTTTCTATGCTGAAGATAGAAATTAGTTTCATCCTCTCAGGTTGAAATTTCTCTTTTGATTTTGATGTAGTACCAGAAAAGCCAGTTTACTCATGAAAATTATACTTCATCAACCAGGTGTGAACAATTTTGAGTACAGTTCGTCTTAGATTTTTCACTTAAAATAACTTGTTCTTGAAGCTTGGCACCTTGAACTTACTATTAACAGAGAATGTGTTCTTGTCAGGAGTGATTGATATGATAGCAGCTTTTTTAGGGTTTTTTTTTTTTTTTTGATGTGGACCATTTTTAAAATCTTCATTGAATTTGCTACAATATTGCTTCTGTTTTATGTTTTGGTTTTTTGGCCATGAGGCATGTGAAATCTTACCTCCCTGACTGGGGATCGAACCCACACCCCCTGCATTGGAAGGCGAAGTCTCAGCCACTGGACCAATGGGGAAGTCCCCATCTTTTAAGTCATTGCTCATCCAAACATAGAGCCAGTTTTTCAAACATCCGCAAAAGTATGCAAGTATTTTCACCCTTGGAATTCCTGATGACACTGTTTAAAAATACAAGTGCCTTTATTTGTAATATGCCTGGTCTGCTGAATGTTTGTTTTTCCTACTCACGGAGGGTCTCATAAGCACTCAGAAGGCCTGAAGCTTTAAATCTGCCCTGAAGAAAATCTTGTCTCCCCATTCCTGCCTTGGCTCATTGAGGGGGTGACTTCTGCCAATGCCTGCATGACAAGGACCCTTTCCACCTTCCTGAAGAAATATCATGGGCCTCAAAGGACAGAGAAGGGAGAAGGCTGAGAAGGTGTCCAGCACCTCTCGGGAGGCGTGGCTTTGCTGAACACCTGTCCACAGGTGTGCTGCTCAGCTCTAGTGCGCTCCTTGGTCTACCTGGGGCCACGATGGCCCCAAGGGACAGGACTCATTATTCTGCCTCTCTCTGCAGCCTGGGGTCTAAGACATGGCGCTCAACTGGGCTCTCACCTGAAGCCTGTCTCATGGATTAATGGGCACTTTCTTGTCTGTTAATTAACTGATGTTTTGTTCCCCGTTTGGTTACTGATGTTCACATCTCTTCATATTCAGGCAGAATTCTAAAGTAGGGGGCAGAGTGGTGGGATTTATTTTTATTTCTAATTTCAAAGAATACTAGAACTACTTCCCAAATGATCCTTGTAAATTGTGTTTCCTACTATTAAAAAGCCAGAAAAAAAACAAACAAACAAAACCCCATAACCAAATCAAAAGCCTGCTCTTCTTTGAAGTTACCAAACATTGTCTGTGTGAATGTGAAAGCCATTTTGTTTGGCTAATTATCAATCTGTCTCAACAATTAAAAAAATGGAGAAAGACCAGAAATCCTTTTAAATGCTTCTTTTATTTCATTGGTTGTATATTGGGTGAGTGAACTGAATATTACAACTGAAACATAGAATTGATACAAATTAGACTCCTGTTTACACTGTAAGGTAATGAATGAGGGAATTCTTTAAGTGTTACTGAGAGGTTTAGTAGAAATGTTACCAGTGATAATGGCTCAAAGAATATTTAGGTGAAGTGCTGTTACATCCTGAAAACAAAGAGTGAAATGTGGTTCCCATACAAGTGACGAGTTCATCTCTTAACTACAGTATTTGTTGAGTTGCTATCTTCATGTCTTGGTATTGGTGATTTTGTTTTTGTAATTAAACAAAGCATTTAAGGTTTATTCATCATAGTCAGACTTCTGAATATAAACAAACTTTTGGCAAATAATATTTATACAGAAAAATAGTTTTAGATCCTCTCAAGTCCCAGAATTATTCTATAAAATTACATTATAAATAAATAAAAAGCAAAATCTGTTGTACATATATTTGTACATCTGTGCATTTGCCTTGCCTCTTCCTTATTGTAAATGGCATATTTATGACTCTTTGCATATTATAATCACAATTCTGGAGAAGTGGATATCATAGTAAAAATACAGTCTTCTATATTTGCTTAGGGATATAGGTGATATTTTTGATGTTCCATTGTTAAAGGGTTGGAAATTGTTGTGTGCTAATAATTTTAAAAATCAAAACCATGAAACAAAAGAAAAAAAAAAGACAATGTAATAACAATTAGTCTACTACAAAAATATTTTGGTGATTCCCATAATTTATGTTTAGTAATGTATACTACGTTTTCAATGAGTTTAAGTGAATTACAAAGAAAAAAAGAAAAAAGAAAGTAAGTTTGAATGTTTTAGGCAAGTTGTAGCGTAACTACATTGTTATAGTTGAGAAAATTACAAATATCAATAATACATAAAGATGAAACTACCAAAGAAATACAAGTTAGATACAATACTTTTCCACAAATTAAAACAAATGCAACAATACAAGCACTATGTAAGATTACACTTAGAATGTGATTTTTTTTGATAGGGTTATCAAATCTACGATATAAGATAAATAGTCATTAGACTCTGATTAATATTAATTAAAATGGCAGATTTCTTTTTTTTCTCAAACAAAAATGATATGGTTGGTGCATCTAGTTTTCAGAACAGGCGGTGATGCCAAAATTTAAAATATTTTACATTCAATCTCAAAAGTCAAAATACTTCAATCACTAATATGTTCACAAAGAAAATGGATGTTTTAAACAGTTACACATAATAATCATTTATAACAGATGTTTTGTTTTTTAAACAATAATTTAAAAACTATGTAGGTACTGTATAGGCTATGTGCAACATATAAAATGTGAAATATGAAATATTTGGTACGATAGTGCTTAAAATAAACTTTAAAACAAACTTTCTGAACAAAATTTAATTGTATCGCTATTACCTTGAAGATCAACCAAGTATTTAAAAAAGTAAACAACATTAAAATATGTTTCATCCATATATAGTATATATATGTATGTGTATATATAATATGTATGTACTTGTATTAAAGTTTTTTATACTTTTGAGACATAAAATATGCTTTAAGGTGAAAGAATTAAAAGAACTTATTTTTTTTTCCATGCTGTAGTCAGTTACAACCCTTTAATCCAACTTTTGAAATGCAAAACAGTAATGGAGTTTTTAAAAAGTGAAACTATCTACTTGCTGTTTACGTAGTAATTTAGATTAAAGTCACAGTCAAATTTTCAGTGACTAAACTCAAACTTACTTAAATTAGAATATTATACAGATCTCCCCACCTACAGCTTCCTTGTTTGTCTAGGTTTTTAGTTTAGAAGTTATTCGGTAACAGGCAACCGGATGGTGAGTTGGAAAGACTGATCCCTTCGGTTAGACTGTTGGCATGGGCCTCTCATGCTTGTCAAGCTGGATGAAGTCTGGCAAAATCTAGGCACTTCTACAAAGTCTCTCTTATAAAACAACTTTAAAAATATACTTGTAAAATAATACCTTCAAGACTTTGTTTGGTTAGGTATGAAACTCACACCGTACAAAGTTTCTTTTTCAATCTGTTAATGTTGTTCTAGAATCACATGATTCGATGCGGCGTCTCCAGGCAAACCAAATACCACACTTCGATGTGTCCCCAGTATTTGTGCTTGAATTTCCATTCAAATTTTAGACCTGCAGGACAGGTAACGGTTTTACTTCACTTCTCATCTTTGCTGCAGCATTCGTGTTGTCAAGAAGTGAAACACAGCTCTGATCCAGTGGTCAAAATGAAATGACAGTAATTGAGTAACTGAAGTTAGAATTGAACCTGCCCCTGGAATAGGTTTTTTGTTTTTTTTTCTTTCTTTTTTTTTAAACTAATGCTAATCGCTTATTGCTAACTTTGAAATATTCTGAGTCGAAATGAATAAATTGGTTGGACTTTCTGCATCAGCTATAGTTATGGAGATAAGACAATATTCCTAGGACAGAAACTATGTTTAGAAACCCTTTAAAAGTAAACTTTATCCTTTATGTCCTTTAACATCACAGCTGGTCTCAGGTAGTTAACTATCTTAGGTTGGAATATACTAAGCATACCATATTTAATACTCATATATGATATAGCAGCACTAGCTTCTTAGAGTTGTGGTCTGTCCAGAAGAACTAAATCTTTATTTAGCATGCAGTTTGTGGCAATTCTATTGAGGAGGGAACAGGATAGTATGTACAGTAACAATGTTTAGTTATTCTCAATGCAGATTCTTGGCATTCCATTCCGCTTCTGCTGATTATTTCAGAATTATCTGTTAAAGAAAAAGACAAGTGTGATTTAGACCTCCTTCTTGAGAGAAGAGAGCTAGTTTAAGTTTTACTCTTTGAAAACAGACATTTAAAAATAGGAATTTTCTTCCATTTCTCATAATTCTGATGCAATTATAATTTTGCATAATCCCCACCCTTCATGCTGAAAATATTTAGACACTGATGCTATGCAGCCACGGTCAAGAAAGGTGATTCAAATGCACAGCATTTTCTGTAAAACTGTGACTGCATACACGTTGGCATGCAGTGTGTTTAGATCTTAATTTCCTTTTTTAGTTTTGTCTTTTTATCACCTAATTATACATTCAATTATCATTCAATTAATATTCATTAATATGATCAGGAAGGCTAATCAATGAATTAGTTTGCACACAAAATGTTATCTGCAAAGATTAAGCATAAATATTTAAAATGTGTAATAAATTAAGTAACATTTATATATTAACTTGCATTTATCACTCAAACATATATTCCCATTGAAAGTAATTTTGTTCCCAAGATACAATCACAACAAGTTTCAAGTTCAGGAGCAGTTTAAATGTCCCATATTAAAGAAACAAGAGAGAACATTCTAATAAAGCAATTACAACAGTCAATAATTCCTAGAGCACAGATAAAACTAAACTAAATGCAAACCAGGGTTCTTGGAGTTTGATCTGAGTTCATTTCCAACTCTAAAACGTTGCAAAGGACAGGGAGCTTGTCCTGTGGGACCCACTCAACTAAGTGTCAAGCTTAAAAGCCAGGCTTCTGACACATTTTAACAAAAATATTTATTTTTTGTGCAATGCTTTGACCCAACTTTGTGCAATTAATAAACAAAAATTTATTAAAAAGCCAAGAGTCTCTGTTTATGAACTAACCAGTAAAAATTCTTCATGGTCAAGGTCAGTCACTGTTCCTACACACTGGGATCCAATTCCCAATAAAAGCCTCATTTCTACAATTTCTTACCCCATTATGTTAGAATTTATAACATGGATTTTTTTCATTTTAAGTGGGTATTTCTTCAGTTAATATAAAACAGTTTTAGTACATACACTTAAATAATTTCTCCCATGAAATAAGTAAGAGATTTATTTTATGAGAATATACTACTGCTGCTGAGAATATAAGATATGTATAAACTGATAGAAATAGAGGAAGAATTTGTGTATGTTAAATACTTGTACTAAATGAAAACTCAAAACTTTGGATAAGACCATTTTTTTGTTTTTCAGAAAGTTCTAGGAATTTAAAATTAATTGAGAAAAAAATATCTCATGTACTCATATATGAATAAAAATAATGATATGATTTATATGTAAATATTATCATAGTATCTTTGAATAGTCGTTGCCTATAGCTAATATTCAAATTCTTCAGATGGTTATAACTTCATTTTTAGATTTAGATATTTGAGTATTAAATAGGAATGTCTATTTTATCCCTTAGCTTCCATCCTGTCTGTAAGGTTTCCAAATAAGAATGTGCCCCAGGACATGAGATCATGTCCTGTTTTTTTCTCTTTCATTTTACTTTAGCAAAGTCTCTCTAAAATATTTATGAAAAACAAATATTCAGTTTCTTACATTAAAATAGAATAATATATGCTTTAGAATGTATTCACATTCTTGCTTACTAACTGAAATGAAAATGCCATATAGAATGAAAATTCCTAACCACCTAGAAAGAAAAAGTATCTAACAGAGAGCCCAGGAATGGGCAAATCTATAATTATAGAAGGTAGTTACAATGATGCTTTGGAATTGAACTTGACGGATGTGTCAAACCACCCAGGTCTAACTGAACTAAGTCAACCTTGAAACTGGGCTTACCCAGACTGCTTTCCCCCTCTGCCCCAGCCTACACACAATCCATTATGTGGATAAAGACACATAAATTAAATGTCTTTATCAGGCACTACTGACCTCTAAGCGGTGCCTCCTAGCATCTTGGCCAGAAAACTCTGACCACAGCCTGCTCTAAGTCTTGGGCTAGCTTGAGGACTGTATGTGTGGAATTAAAAAATGAATTATGCCCCTGGCAGCTGTGAGTTTCAAGAAGCTTAAGAGATTTGATCTTAGAAGGAAGGAAAGCTTTGGGTGTTTCATTTTTTTGGTGGTAGCCTTTTTCTAAAAAAATACCATTGGATTATTAAATTTCTTTTCTGAGAAACAGAGCTTGGTACAGTCTGAGTGAAGTGTCCTCTGGGGTGAAATACATTCAGGAATCCAGATGGGGACCAGTTACCAGCCGAGAGCCTCTTACGGACTCCTGAATGTTTGGTCGCTGCTTCTGATATTAGAAGGCTCAGACATTACAGGTCTCAGGACCCACAGGGAGGGGAGGACAGCCTCCACCAGAAGGGGCCTCTGGCGGGAAGCGGAGGGCCAAGTGGACGTGTGTCAAGGAGGAAGGGTGTGGAGGAGCTGTTTTGAGGGCACGAGGGCTCTTCTGTCTAGGTTTTCATATGGCTTTTCCTTAGACTGTACTTTAAATTCACACCAAAAAACCGTAATTTAAAAATAGGATGAATAGGGAATTTTGTTGTGTTTTCTGCTGTCTCTCCTTGGAGAGTCTTCACACCAATTCTATGCAAACATATAAACTATGTTCTATGCATGAAAACGTCAGCCTCCATTGTGATTTCCATAGCCAAGGGGGCCAAAAGCTTCAGGAGGTGCCTGAATATTTCAATATATCTAGGTACAAGGCATATATTCCTAAAAGAGCAGGCTTATATGTGGTCCTGGGAACATCGAATCCGATACTGACAAGCCCTAATCCTGAGCTGGTCCATTAAAAAAATATATTTAATTAAACCACAGTTCTCGAAAGTGACCTCCACAGACCGGCTCTCAGCGGTGTCCTTCCTGCCCTGCACTCGTCAAACCTGAGGCTGACACCCAGAGTTCCTTCCTCAACCTCCAGACACCAAGGCTCAGGTTTTTTTGGAAAAGGCAGTCGGAAACTCCCCTGGGGTCTGCCAGCATTTGTGTAAGTCAGAGAAATAGCCACCATGCTGGGTCTCCTAAAAGTCCCCTCCCTGAAGCAACCTTATTGTCTTGGTTTTCATTTAACAGATACTTCCCTGATTTTCCAGGAGGTCCTGAGAAATTTCTGTCAGAGTCTGAAGAGTTATTTAGGTCACTATTTGGCAGACATGGGAAAGGCAGCATGAGCAGTGTTAGCTGGCTTGCCTGATGTACCAAGTACTTGCACAAACCCGCATGATCTTAGAGATGTTAGCTCATCCTGCTCCTTGGCATGGGAGTCCCCTCCGGGGTATAGTGATGGTCTGCAGTGGGACCAGGGGAAGCAGTGATTCCAAGAAGCAGGTCTGCACCCCTGATGGTGCCAGAGGAGATGCTCAGACCCCCTGGGAGTTTGGGAACCAGGGAGAGGTGAGGCCACGGGGTGGGGCCTGGAGTGGATGGAGCCTGGAAGGCTGGGTGGGAGGCAGCAGTGACTAGTCTGCAGGAACCAGATGCATAGAAGTTGCTGATGGACTTGCGGGCTGCTGGACGCCCCCAGTCCCACCAGGTCTTCCTTGCCTGGGTGGTCAACCATATCCTACCCTAGGCCTCCTCTGGACAGATGCTACAGACATGTCTGCTTATGTAACTGGAGCCCCTACCCAATCAGAGTTCCACTGCTCCAGCTTCCGAGGAGCCCTGGCAAGCTACATGATAGGAAAAAGGAATCGAATCAGACGTTAAAAGCACCTGCCTACAATGCGGGAGACCTGGGTTCGATCCCTGAGTCAGGAAGATCCCTGGAGAAGGAAATGGCAACCCACTCCAGTACTCTTGCCTGGAAAATCTCATGGACAGAGGAGCCTGATAGGCTACAGTTCATGGGGTCACAAAGAATCAGACATGATGAGCGACTTCACTTCACTTCATATTGAATAAATCTGATAGACTAGACCCTCAAATAAGTATTATTTTCTATAACAGAATCATGATGAAGAAGGGGATTACATTATTAAAATAAGATTTTAGTTAATTTTTCATGGTCAAAGTCTTGAACTGAAAGCATTATTTTCAATTTCTTTTTTTCCACTAAAAGGAGGACACACAAAAATGAGAATAGCTGATGTCCACAAAATTGGTGATTCTATTCTTTAAAACAAAGACACATGATCTCAAATCATGACTGCATTCATAAATCTTCAGTGAACCCCCTAGTTGTAACAAGACTGTCTGCAAATCAAAACTATGAGTTGGCTGCAGCAAAGAGCATCTCCTCCAGGTGGTCAGATTTAAGAACAGAATGATTCGGCTTAATCCACATCCTTAAATTATTCCTATATGAGCCCAGTACACAATTAGTCTCAGTTTTATTTATTGAAGACAAAATATGAATGGACCCAAAGAATATCAGATGGGTTGTTTTCCCACCAAATGTGTTATAAGGAGCCATTTAATAATAACACTGCATCCCCAGTGAAGCGCCTACCATTGACTTGTAGTGTAATGGCTCCTCCGTCCATGGGATTCTCCAGGCAAGAATACTGGAGTGGGTTGCCCTTCCCTTCTCCAGGAGATTCTCCCAGCCCAGGGATTGAACCCGGGTCTCCTGCACTGCAGGCGGATTCTTTACCATCGGAGCCATCTGGGATGCCCCAGTGTAATGGCAGTCAAGCTCACTGCAAAGAGGACTGGGCTGGGCGTTGCCTGAAGACTCAGCCTACGCGGGCCGGGCAGGAAGTGTGCATAAGTGGGTAGGTCAGGTGGGAAGTGTGGCAGATGGAAGGGCGCCTGCCTAGAAGGAATGGAGCGGCAGCCTGCAGAAACCTGAACTCTAGATGGCCTGGCCTTTCCATTTGCCAGAAGCAGCTAGAAATTCAGCCACTGATCCACAGTGTGGAAACAACTCTGTATGGGTTAGCTGTATCTTTAGGCTGAATTCAGCTATGAGCTACCAGTTTGTGTTTTACTTGAGCCTTCCTTACTTTCTTTTAATTAATTAAATTTTGGCCCCAGTGGGTCTTCGT